TTGAAAAATATTCATTTTGGCACACTTAAGGAAACTGAGTCCTTAAGCTGAATGAGGCACATTCATACCATATATACAATACAATAAAAAAAATATACATCTATATAAGAAAGGCAAAAACTATAATAAACCGAGGAAATGTAACTTAGAGTTAAAATTAAATTAAATACAGAAATTTGTAGCAAAATTAAATAAATTATAAGTAAAAGAAATAATTATATATATAAAAAAAGAAGAAAAGATTAAAAAGAAAAACATTCATAATTAATTACAATATTTAAAATCGTGCAAGAGATCTTCGAGTCCATTACTTTCCCCCACGTGTGAAGGACAAAGCGAGATTCTAAGAGTTCCCAGGGCTTCTCTCTCAGCCGCGTCGCCAGCATTACCAGTCCAGTGGAGACTGAGAGAGGGCACTAAAGCCGCAAACACATAAATAAACTTAGTTCAAGCATCCAGATCTAGTCATTATTTCGAGTCTTCTTTCTGACTCTTTCCCCTTTCTTCTATTTTCATCCATTCTTCTTACTCTTCCTCCTGATCAGCCAAAAACCCAAATGGTAGTGATCCATAGATCTCCTGCACACAACAAACATAAGAACTATCAAGAATTGCAGAGATAAATTGCTTTGTGATAAATTAGATGATAAATTGCAACTCACTTTTAAATATATTGTATTTTACATACATATGAATGTGTGTAAGAAGATAAATTTTATTTATTTATTTTCCTCTTTTTTGTATATATTGTGTTAATGAACTTTTGTTGCCTTAATAATTGCCCTTCTAATGTGGTAGATTGTATTGTCATTCAATAAACCAAATTTTAAAAAATACGTTGTAAAATATAAATAAAAAATAAATTTACTACATTATACAAACTTTATTTAATGAAATTTACAGTTGAATCAACAGAACGAGTTGTAAATAAGCTATGTGATTAACATTTTTCAACCATCTGCAAATCTCTCTTTTGAAATGGCTTAACCAAACTTTTCAGTACCTTCCTATGATATACAAAGAAACGTAGGGCAATAATTCCAAAGGAATGGCTATTTCGGTTTTTAAGTTAATTCGATGGCTTATATTATTCTGTGAGATCGCATAAATTTTTTGAAACAATTGCAGCTCACGATACTAAAAAAACATTTTGCTATATGTCGAGTATATATATTTTTTTTGTTTGGTTATAAGAACTATCAACATAAGAATTATCAAGAACATCGAAGACAAAATAAGTAACTAAACATTTAGATGATAAGTTGCAACTCAGTTTTAAACATATTGTATTGTACATACGTATGGATGTGTATAAGAAAATTAATTTTATTATTTTATTTATATATTTTCCTCTTTTTTTATATATCGTGTAAATGAACTTTTGTTGCCTCAATACTTGCTCTTCTAATGTAGTAGATTGTATTGTCATTCAATAAACAAAATTAAAAAAAAAATGTTGTAAAATATAAATAAAAAATAAATTTACTACATTATACAAACTTTATTTAATGAAATTTACAGTTGAATCAACAGAACGAGTTGTAAATAAGCTATATGATTAACATTTTTCAACCATCTGCAAATCTCTCTTTTGAAATGGCTTAACCAAACTTTTCAGTACCTTCCTATGATATACAAAGAAACGTAGGGCAATAATTCCAAAGGAATGGCTATTTCGGTTTTTAAGTTAATTCGATGGCTTATATTATTCTGTGAGATCGCGTAAATTTTTTGAAACAATTGCAGTTCACGATACTAAAAAAACATTTTGCTATATGTCGAGTATATATATTTTTTTTTGTTTGGTTATATATTATGTAATGTCGTGATATAAATATAAATAAACTAACGGTGTTTAAACTAAAAAAAAAAATAATTTGAAAACCTATTTTACAAAAAAACATATTCTTCCTAAGGGAATATGATCTATACATATTTAAACTTGGTGTAGTAATCTAGTGCCTTCCATTAAACCAACTTTAAATATTCGTTGAAGTATATTTTCCTAAAAATCTACCCAAATGTTTAAATAGAAATAGAAACACATACTGTTAGACCTTGTAATTATTGAAAAGTATTTTTTTTTTTATGTTGAACATATTGGTAAAAATTACCCATATTATTTATTAACCTATAGCCTTGTGTAGGTAATATAAAAACAATGTATACTATCATTAGCGGATCCAAGATTTAATTTTAGGGGGAGGCTTCAGCCCGAAAGATTTTTTTTTCATATACGTATAACAATAATTAATTATAAAAAAAAAAAAGAAAGACATTAACTACCTATATGAAATGGTGTTTAAGTGGTTCTTGAAGTCCTATTAAATGTAATTACACTAACAAGAATACTTTAAGAGGTAGTTTTTAATATTTTTTTTCTGTAAAACATGGTTATATTTTACCATTTTGGAGAGGGGGGAAGCTTCAACCCGAAAGCCTCCTCCGTAGATTCGCCTGTATATACTACTGCCCTCTCTATTAACTATTAGTCTTTCTAGTTTAAGTTCTGTATAAGTTACATTCAATATTTATTTACATTCAGTGGTCATCTATTTATAAATAATTAATAAATATCCAGTGTAATTTCATCTTACTATGACAATTGAAATATTTTAATGGCAAAATAGAACTTGCATTTACAAGTCTTAAAGCCAAAAAAGGACAAAAAAATAAATAAAAACAATGTAAGATAAGACTGCCGAAGGAACTTTTTGGGTCACTAAATGATCTTCCTAACACGACTAACATACATGACCCTCGACATCCTGACTTACACACCGGGGACAGCGTAAAAGAGGTCTTAGACTTGACGACAGCCCGGGCGGACGACTTGAGGGAGCCGGTGTGAGGTGTTAGTAGAGAAATTATAGCCATCTTTGGAAGGAGGCGGTAGTTGTAACATTGTAGCCGCCCCCTTTTTACAGCCCCTAAATCTTTAATGCTCTCTATAATTCTTATAGCGGATCGTTGGGGGTGGTCGGTTACTGGATAACTGTTCCTCTTTAGAGCGGCGATAACAGCTACCTTTGGCTCGGGGAGGGACTTTAGGGTCAGCAAGTCAAGTGGCAGTTTTGTGAAAAATTTGGACTAAGAACATCACCACAAGTCATTAATTTCTTTAAGATTTTAGATGGAAGGAAACCCTTTGACAAGATGAAAATTAATCCTTAACAGAATATGAAATAAAAATATTTAAAAATAATGTTGTGACCAGCATTTACACGTGAAAAATTGAATAGTGACACATTTTATTTTTCGGGAATTTCAATGTTGGGAGGGAAAAAAAGAAGGGATACAATTTTAACAATCAAAATCTCTTCTGACAGTTTAATCTATTTTTAAGTAAAACGGATATGAAATGAGTAAATATATTATTAGGTATTATTTTGTATACATTTGAGCGGACGTGATTTTCATGTTCATCCTCCGCTGGTTTTAAATAACAGTGAAGTGGCTAAGGGAGAAGTATAGGGATCTCGAGTAAGTGCTGAAATAATAACTTGATTGTTTGAAATAAATCGATTATTTTCGAAAAATATATTTTCGTCACACGTTTTTTTGTAAAACATGTCTTTTTTAACACCACGGCTTTTTGTTCTACGAGAAAATTGTAGAATATAGTGTGTTAAATGTATATATCATTAATTAGTTTATCTTTTATGAGCCCAAAGTTAAATCAATTTTGAATATTTTTATAAATTTCGTCAATGCAGATGAGCCAGTCAAAACAGATAATGTTTTGGGTGACATCTTAATGTTGAGTCCTGCATGACTTGAGCACAGTGAGAAGTGAGAGCTGCACTGTATGATCTCCTAAAGAGACTTGCTTGTCCCTCCACATGTCGGGGGACAAGATTGGTTCGGAGATCACCTGGCAAATTGTAAATAGTGTATATAGGTATGATTGTATCTAACATGTTTATTTTACTTTTATTTCTATGTTTACTTACTTATGTGTATTTATATTTTTTATTTTCTCTTTTGTTCTATTTTCTTATTCTTTTGTTATTACTTTATTTATTTATATTTCTGTATATACGGTATGAATGTACTCTCTGAACTCTATTATAAGTGTCCTTAACTGTGACAAATTGTAATATTTCTCAAAAAAATTGACTGTAAAAAAGACAGAATCTGACAACTTAATTTAAAAATATATGGTGGCAACGCTGGTTGTGACCCCTACCAGTAATCCATTCATTCTCCTTCTGCTTCGTCCTTCCAATTAAATGGCCACGATTTGTGATAAAACAAAGAAACCAGTGGTTCTTCTGAGGTTCTTCGGTGACCATAAAGAATTCGGATACAGGGATTCTTGCTCAGGCCAAGTCTTCTTTAAAGCCTTAATTCTATATAAAGTTTGTTCTCCTTATACTAGTGGAAATATATAATTATGTAAAGATTAGTTGATTTTCTTTAAATTTGTTCAAAATGTGTATAACTTTTACTCTCTCGCTATTTATAGTGGGAGGAGAGGTAATTACATCCAGCTAACTAGAGCGAATAATTCTGAGGGTCTACCACAAAATAAATTTATAAATATCAACCACCTAGGCCGGATTCCTGGCTTTTTATTTTTAAAAACATTTTCCTGAAATTTGACGTTATTTATCAACAAAACCATACTAATTGCATCAAAATTTTACATATCAAATATAGTTACAAAAATGGAATAATGTTTGGTTTTTAAGAAGGAAAAATGTATCAAAGTTTTTAGTGATTTGATGTTATGAAGTGTCACTTGATTGTTTATTATTTTTATTTTTTCATATTTCTTGCCTTTTAGTCCACACGGCTTTTCCCAATCCTGGGGATATTATTGGTAAAATTTGTTCATCTAATTTCGGTTAACTTGTTGCCGGATAAAGCGTGGTGCTGTCTGTGTACACGCGTTAGTCCACTGGGCCACACCGCCCTCTACCACTTAATGACTTTTTACAGTGAACTGATGGTATGTATATAGATATATGTATATAGTTCGCTTTTATTCAGTTTAGCGATTGATCCGACATGTGCCCCGACATTCCCCACAAATTCCACCGAGAGACGAAGCTGCTGGCAGCAACAAGTCCCCCATAGAGTAGACAAAGAGCCGCTGTACAAAAGCTGGCCCCCCCAACCTCACCTCCCCCCCGTGTCCAGTCTCCCTCCCACCATGTCCAGCCCCCCTGACCACCTGACCCCATTTGTGGCCTCACAGTTTTGTTTACTCTTTGTATAGCTGTTTCTTTCTAACTGCAAGCAACTCCATGTGTCAAGGGTTAAACGGAAACGTAGGCCACAAAATCAGGTGTTCATAACTGTTATATTCTCAAAAATAAGCTATGAGAAAGTTTCTATTAAATATGAATTAAAAATATAATTTAAAAAAAAGTAGTTAAATTAATGAAAAAGAGGTGGTGTTGCAGTTTTGTTTAAAAACGTTTTGTATACACGCATTTGTTTATGTTTAGATGTATACAAATCCTCCGCACGATAACCAAAGGATGAGAGTACTAACACATGAAAGAGAAGGGCCTATAAAGAACTGCTTACAGGAACTGGTCAATCAATATCTCGTGATATGAAGGCAAGGAGTTTTAGATGGGTCGTTAGTTTAAGATTATACAGCTCTCAATAGTAGGAAAGAGACGATGTGGGAACCCAAAACACGAGATGGATGGATGGATTCAACTGGCTAGAGCGCGGCATGCATATAACTGGAAAGTAATAGGCCAATATGAAGAACAATAGTTAAAGTGGAAAAATATTTAGGTTATTTATTGGTTACATAATGTTGTTCCTGCTGGAGAGATGATCAGTGCCACATGCATGCAGCTCAACTTCTCACTGTGCTCAAGTCATGCAGGACTCAACATTAAGATGTCATCCAAAACATTATCTCTTTTGACTGGCTCATCTGCATTGACGAAATTTATAAAAATATTCAAAATTGATTTAACTTTGGGCTCATAAAAGATAAACTAATTAATGATATATACATTTAACATGCTATATTCTACAATTTTCTCGTAGAACAAAAAGCTGTTGTGTTAAAAAAGACATGTTTTACAAAAAAACGTGTGACGAAAATATATTTTTCGAAAATAATCAATTTTAGTTAATATTTTTTTTAAAGTTATTATTTCAGCACTTAATGGACAAACTCTCTAAACTTCCAATTAATTACAAAATACTCATATACATGACTGTAATAAGGCCTATTTGGACTTACGGAGTTGAGCTATGGGGTTCCTCTAAACCATCGAATTCCTCTGGAATCCAATCCTTACAATCCAAAATCCTTCGTAAAATCCTCAATGCTCCCTACTTTGTTACAAATAAAACCATCCATAATGACCTTAATGTTTCTTATGTTTCAAATCTGGCCCAATCCAGATATCTATCCTTCCATAATAAACTTCACCGCAGTAACACTTCACTCCACAATAAAGAATCACCCCAACCCTCTCGTTTCTAGCCTTGCTTCCTATTCAATTCCTGATAATCCTCCGAGGCGTCTGAAAAGAAGATGGCCCCGTGATCTCCTAATGTAGACATATCATTAGAGTGCTACCACAGGGTAATTACTAACCAAATGTTTTCACGTCATTATATCCATATGTTCAAATTTACTAAATATATTTCTTTAATACAGTTGTAAATATCATTAAGAAATAATAATAAAAAAAAAATTAAGAAAATATCTCGAAAACTACAAAATATACAAAACAAATAAACATGAATATTCTTATAGAAACTTTTATCAGCTTTAATTTTCTATACGACAATGTTTCGTATACGAAGCCTCATTTTCAAGCTATATAAAAAAAATCTGAAAAAGTAACTTTTGCGGCGTCCCCCAACCATGAAGCGGAAGGGGTCGGGACGGGTTTTTTAAGTATGTTTTCTTCTTAAGTGCTCCAAACTAATTCCCAAATTAGTCCAATTTCCATTCACTCTACCACCCCTTCGTTGACTGACTACTGGGCGAGGTGGAGAACATAGGAACCCGGAAATATCGAATGCTCAACCAGGATAGAGGAAAGTGGAGTAGGATCATAAGAGAGGCCCAGGTTTTTGCAGGACCGTAGTGCCAAGAATTAATAAATAAATAATAAATGGTAGGTTTTGTATGTTTCGGATCAGTAATCACTACTTAAAAAGTCCAGATAATGTTTGCCGGCTACAATAACAGCAGACTGGCAGACGCGTCAGTTAACAGCTAGCAGTAGGCGGGCAGTAGCTGTTAAAAAAAGGTTAACTGCCTCGACAAACAAGAGGTTAGGGGCCATCAAGGCACAACAATTAATAAGAGCGGTGAGAGATAGGGGGCGGGGCCAGTTTATAACCTTATCTTGTGCCCACGCCCACCAGATTAACATCTCTCTTAATTGTTAATAGCTCCCTTCTTAATTAAATCCACTCGCCAGCTCAGCTTTTTAATGGATCCTTGCTCAGCGCGTGCCAGGCCTCCGTCGCTCTGGAATCTTCAACCACGTAGGAACAAATCACAAGTGGTTGCATTTTGAGATTAATTTTATTGCAATATCCAGGATACTTATTCATTTATATATTTAAATGCACAATCCACCAACAGGCAAATGATAGGAAAAAATAACAAATAAATGGCTATTTGTTTTAAGTTATAAATATAACGGAATAATGAATAATTATTAGAGACAACACAAATAAAATAACTAAACTACTATTGGGTTGGCAAATAAGTCCTTTCGGTTATTAAGGTGAAATAAAACGTATTATACAAATAAAATTTATTTTAATCTACAATATATTGACTATTATTTAATATGACTTTATTCCATCTTTCCACTGACTGTATAATGTTCATAGAACGCCTAGAGTTTATTTAAAAATACTGATCCTAATGATTTTTGATATCATCTTCCTTTTGGGATTTATTTCCATTCATGGAGTTCTGCAGGGGCCAAAATAAGAGTTAGTCGCTTGGAGATAGGTCTGGTGAATAGGGAGGAGGGGGCCAAAGTCTTGGTGGAACACAACACCCTTCCGATCATTCATAACTCTTCAGTATGTTCTCTAAATTCGATGTTACTATATCCCTTGAAAAGTTGAATTATTGCTCTTCAAAGCCGTATGAATAGTTTTTGTTTTAATGCCCACATAAGGAATAAATAAACAAAAACTACTTATAGGTTTTTATTTTTTATCTCCGTTTGTGGTTTGTTTACGAAGGTCCTGTTGATGACGTATTGTGTAGTTTATGTAGCCCTAAATTTCTTGTAGATGGCTAAAGTCGTTGAAATTGTAACATTTTTTGGTGATTTTCATAAATATCATGTGAGGGACCCAATCATTAAGCCTGGAAACATAGCCGATCTTGTGCAAATGGTTTTACACGCTTGTGTGCGTCACATTTAGGGCCAAACAATCTCTCGCACTGATTGCATGAGATTTTGATCAGCAATGGCCTTAACATTGCTCGTTTCAATTTCATGTGGGCTACCAGATCGTTGAGCATCATTGATGCCAAAATTTCCTGAATGAAATTTGGCAAACCAATTTCGACATGTGTGTTCGGTTAAGGCATCATTCCCATAAACACTGCAAATCATTCTATGAGCTTCTGCAGCACGCTTACCTTTTTAAAATAATACAAAATATATGCCGATATGAATGATATTTTCTTCCATATTCGCAGTGCAATTCTAAGCTAGTTTCAGCAAAAGTTGAAAAGATATAGTTATTGACATATTAATAGCAGTATAAACAATCCACATTACGGATTAATTCATCAGATAAGAAGTGTATCATTGTGACATAAAAATAAACAGAAAAACCGAAAGGACTTATTTGCCAACCGAATATATTATAGAAATGAAAAAAAATAACATAATAATATTTATATTTAAATACTTTATACTAACAAGGAGAAGTTACGGACTTGAGGTCACCTATTTCAAGGAAACTTTTTTTTAATAATAGTTTGAAAAATATTTAACCCATGTCTGAGAATTCTTGCCAATTGGTACTGAGGATTGTTTTTATAAAATTTTACATTTTTATATTGATTTTCTCAGCGTTTCCTTTCTACGGACTTTTTTTTTATCATTAATTGATTTTTTTTTTGTGTGTAAACTAATGAAGACATATTATAGACTGATTTTACTACACAAATTCAATTGTATAAAAAGTAATGTAGAAAAACTAAATATTTGTCATGAAAAAGCAATTCAGATTCGTTTTTAGCGCCTTTTAAAACTCTTACTTATTTACTTAAAAAGCCCTCTCGCTCAAACTCCACTGGCTATAGCACCAGTGACGCGGTTGAGAGAATAGTTCAGAGATCTCTTGGATTCCTGCTTTTCCTTCTATAGTTGGAGTGAGAAGCCTGGCTTGAGATTCCCTGCCAGATTGTATATAGTGTATATAGGTATGACTGTATTTTTATGTTTTTTAATTTACTTATCTTTAGGTTATTTTATTTTTTGATTGTACATAGTTTTTGATTATCATTTTACTTTTGTTAATTTTATATTTTCTGTATATATTTTGTGAATGTGTTCATATATCACTATAATATATTGTCCACGTGACAGATTTTTATAATTCTAAATAAATAAATTTAAAAAAAATAATTTAAAAAAAAATTAAATCTTTTGAAGGATTTTTCTTATGCCGTTTACATTTGCATTACATTATACATGCCGTTACATTCTAGCTCCTCAGGATTTTCTCCTAATTCAGTGTTACTACAATCGTTGGAGAGCTGAATTATTGATTTTCTAAACCATATCAATAAATTTTAGATCAACACATAAACGAAAATTCCTTAAATATTTTTATTTTATATTTTCAATTACAATTTGTTTCAGTATGATTTATAACAGTTTATGCTTTCGGTGTAGATGTGGTAGAGACATCTTGTTGATTATGCCACATTACCACTATTCTTTATTTCGAAAAGAACTTGAAGAAGTTGGAAGAAATAAAATTATATTTCTCGGGTTTTTCGAGGTGTGAAATACAAATCTCAACTTTATTTTTTCTACAACCCATAAGAAATATTCATATTAGGAAATACTCTGTGAAGTATTAATAAGACCTCCCAAAACCTCTATTTAAATATACTATTGTTTGTACAATGGGCGCTATCTATCGGTTCAAGTTAGAGCTACAAGGGGTGCAACAAGGGAGGGATTTTAATTCAACAAAGTTACCTGCCTAATATTACCTGGCACGCCATCTGTTAACAAATACACCGCACCTTGGTTAGGGGTGAGATAGTACCTATTGTTGTGTGGTACTGGGGCAAGAAAGTGGGGCGTTGCGTAGGTACGATTTACCCCTTGAGATAGCAGCACGATTCTTATCTATTTAAATATATGAATAAATAAAATTAAGGAGTATCAGATAAGCTAGACTAAATTATCTAAATCCATAAATTTTGAGTTCTGATGTTTTCGTCAATTTTAACGTTCTAACGGTATTTCATTTATTTACCAGAAGTATTGAATTAAAAACTATTTAATTAATTTCAGAATAATAATATTAAGCCGGCAAGTATACTCTCCTTCTAAATTTTTTTAATTGCCATTTGTTTTTTTCCAGAAACATAATTCGAATGTGTTTATTAACAAGTGTTTATGTGAAAAAAAACATTGATATGATTTTTATTGATTCGATAAGATTGCTTAAGAAATATAAAAAGGTCTGGTTTTTATCATAAAAGACAGCTCTTAGGATATGAACTGTTCACTAAGTGTTTAAAT